ACGGAGTAATACAAATCTTTAAAAATAATATGAAAAAGGGCCGGGGATTTAGCTCAGTGGTTCCGGCGCCTACCTCGCAAGCGCAAGGTCCCGAGTTCGATCCCCGGTACCAAAATAATAATAATAATAATAATAATATGAAAAAGCACACAAACAGAAAAAAAATCAAATATCAGTATCCATCAGTGCAAGATACCGTGAGGGATAGACAGAAGTCATTCTCACGCGTGCGCAGACGCAGGCAGCGGAAGCAACAGGCCCCAGACACAGCTAGGGGAGCGCGAGCTCTGACGTCACCGCGCGGAGGAGGGGCTAGACCGCGCCTGCGCAGTACTTCAACCCTCCCACCTCTGCTGAGGTGGGGGTTTTTTTGGTTTTTTTGGTACCGGGGATCGAACTCGTGTCTTTGGGCTTGCAAGGCAGGCGACAGAACCACTGGGCTAAATCCTCGGCTCTCTGCTGAGGTGTTAATAGAGTAATTGGAAGTGCGTGCGACTTTGGTGACTGTTCTAGCAGGTTTGTCCCTTCCCATCCTGGGGAAAGTTCCTTGCTGCGTTTGGGGGCGGGCAGATCCCTCAGTGGGTTGGGTCTTGGTGATCCTGATTTCTTGGCCCTGGCTGCTTGATATCTGACCACAGAGTCTTGAGAGCTGAGCCTCTTGACTCTTGAGGTGTTATCCTAATTTTGTAGCTTTGAAGACTGGTCTGTTTTGTTTCTTTTGTTGTTGTTGTTTTTTGATTTTTTGGTACCAGGGATCGAACTCGGGACCTTGTGCTTTAGAGGCAGGCAGCGGAACCACTGAGCTAAATCCCCGGCCCTGTTTCGTTTGTTTTTTGAGACAGAGACTTGCTATGTGGTTCAGGTTGGCCTTGAACTCACTATACAGCCCAGAAACTCACGGTGATCCTCCTGCCTCAGCCTCCCAAGTGCTGGATTACAGACGTGCGCCCATGCCCAGCTGGTCGACTTTTTTTTTTTTCTTTTGGTACCAGGGATCGAACTCAGGTCCTTGGGCTTGCGGGGCAGGCGGCGGAACCACTGAGCTAAATCCCAGGCCCTTGGTCTACGTTTTTAAGTCCCAACTCCCTGGTATGTTTGTTAGGCCCATGGAACTGAATATCAATATTTTTTTTTTTTTTGTACCGGGGATCTAACTTGAGTCCTTGTGCTTGTGCAGCAGGCGGCGAAACCACTGAGCTAAATCCCCGGCCCTGAATATCAATATTTAATACTTATCAAATAAGGACATTAAATCTGGTCAAGACTCAATTTGTAAGAAAGAAAAGTTTAGCCAGGCACAGTGGTGTGTAGCTATACTCCCAGCTGGTTGGGAGATGGAGGCAGGCAGAGGAGCAAAATCCTGAGCCTATGATACCACCTACTTGGGAGCCTGAGGCAGAAGGATTACAAATTCAAGCCGGCCTGGGCAACATTACAAGATCCAATCTCAAAAAAAAAAAAAAAGTTTTTGTTATTGTGTTTATTTTTTGTTTGTTTAAAAAAAAATTCAAAATACAGAGTTTAAACCAGGTGTGATGGTGCACACCTCTAATCCCAGCACTTGGGAGGCTGAGGCAGGAGGATCGCTCTGAGTTCGAGGCCAGCCTGGGCAACATAGTGAGTTCAAGGTTAACCTGAACTACATAGTGAGACCCTGTCCCAGAAAAACAAAGGAAAAAAAAAATTTTACTGAGTGCATATTGTTTTCACAGCATTGTAAATTCAAAACCTCAAAAGTCAGGCCGGGGATTTAGCTCAGTGGTTCCAGGGCCTGCCTTGCAAGGGCAAGGTCCTGAGTTTGATTCCCGGTACCAAAAAAAAAAAGAAATCACCAGCTCCTAAAACCTCAAAAATCAAACCATCATAAGAACTGTCTGGATGTCCTCATACATTGTGTGCCCCAAGCCACCAACTAATTATTATTATTATTATTTTTTGGTACTGAGGATCGAACTTGGGTCCTTGCGCTTGCGCAGCAGGCATTGAAACCGCTGAGCTAAATCCCCAGCCCAATTCTCTTAAATGCACTAATGCCCCAGGTGTGATGGTGCACACCTGTAATCCCAGGACTCAGGAGGCTGAGGCAGGAGGATTGCCACGAGTTTGAGGCCAGCCTGGGATACATATGAGTTCAAGGCCAGCCTGCACTACATAGTGAGACCCTGCTTCAAAAAATAAAAATAAAATACAAATAAATGCATTACGGGGTTGAGGTTGTAGCTAGTGGCACTGTGCCTCCCTGGCAAATGCAAGGTCCTGAGTTCAATTCCCAGTACCAAAGATATAAATAAATGTATTAGTACCCCCCTCCCTCTTGGGCTATTTGAGACTGGACTATGTAGTTCAGGCTGGCCTCAAACTGATCCAACTGCCTCAGCTCCCCAAAGGCCAGGATTACAAGTGTCTGCCACCATGCCCAGCTGATGTATTGGTCTCTTAAATCACACAGAAGACAAAAAGTCAAAGTGCAAACTGCTGTGATGCTTGTATGATTACCATTGTATCGCTACTTCCCGCGGCTTTGGATCGTTGTCCAGCGCATTTTGTCCTCTACTGTTCCTTTGAGCATTTCTGCTAGGGCAAGCAAGTGGCAGTGAGCGTCCCTGGGTTTTATCTGGGAACATGTTCACTTCTGCCATTTTGTTTTGTTTTGTTTGTGGTACCTGGGATCAAACTCAGGACCTTGCACTTGCTAGGCAGGTGCAGCACCACTGAGTTACATCCCCGGCTGGGTTTTTTCTTTTAGCAGTACTGGGGAGTGAACCCAAGACCTTTACGCTGGGCTACAGCCCAACCCTATTCATTTTTTTTATATTGAGACAAGATCTCAAGTTGCCACATTGCCTAGGCTGGCCTTGAACTTTCAATTCTCCTCCCTTCGCCTCCAAAGTAGCGAGGATTATAGAGTTCACCACACTTAGCTTTCTCCCACATCTGAAGAATTGTTTTGCCACATATAGGATTCTTAGCTGACAGGTTTATTTTAGCACTTTGAATGTATCAGTCCAGTGCCTTCTGTCCTCCAAAGTGTCTAATAAGAAATCTTACAATTATATTGAGAATCTTTTGGGATGTTGCTTCTCTCTTGATGTTTTCAAGATTCTTATTTAGACAGTTTGTTTAGGCTTTTTGAGACAGGGTCTCTGCTATGTAGCCCAGGCTGGCCTTGAACTTTCAGTGATCTTCTTGCCTCAGCCTCCTGAGAGCTAGGATTACAGGAGTGTGCCACCACAACTGGCATTTCTTCTTTTATTCATTTTTAAAATGGCTTTACTGATATGTGCACTTTTTTTTTCACATCTCTTTTTAGTTGTGTGAGCTTTTTTTTTTGGTACTAGGGATCGAACTCAGGACCTTGCACTTTCAAGGCAGGCGCCGGAACCACTGAGCTACATCCCCAGCCCTCAGCTGTTTTTTTTTTTTTTTTTGAGAAAGGATCTTGCTATGAAGTTCAGCAACTCACAGCAATCCTCCTGCCTCAGCCTCCTGAATGCCGGGATTATAGACATCATCAGGCCTGGCTCTCTTTGGGCTGCTTTTAAGGCAGTCTGTTTATCTATGTGTTTATTTTGCAGTACGGGGGACACACTGAGGTTCTGGTGCAGGCTAAGCCAGCACCCTACCACCAAGCTACATTCCCAGCCCTTTTTAAATTTTGAGACAAGACCTTATTACGTTTCCCACTGGCCTTGAATTCTCAGTCTTCCTGCCTCTGCTGCCCAGGCTGAGCAGGTGTGTGCCAGAATACCCAGAGGCATAGTCATCTTAGCCTTTGCTGCCTTCAGGTCTTTGTAGGGAGTATATATATTTTTTATTTTCCTTTGAGTGGGCCTTTCTTTCCTGCTTCTGTGTATGACTTATGATTTTTGATTTTGTTGAAAACTGGACATTTGAAACTAATAATGTGAGTGTGGTAGCACATGCTTGTAATCCCAGCACTCAGGAGGCTGAGGCAGGAAGATCACCGTGAATTTGAGGGTAGCCTGGGCTGCATAGTCTCTGTCTCAAGAAAAGAAAGTAAGGGCCGGGGATTTAGCCGCCTGCTGTACAAGCGCAAGGTCCCAAGTTCGATCCCCGGTACCAAAAAAAAAAAAAAAAGAAAGTAATGTGGTAGCTCTTGGAATCAGATCCTCTGCTCCTCCAGGGTTCTTTTGTGTTTATTTTTTCGCATTATTAAACCAGATGTGGTGGCTTACACCTATGATCCCAGCACCTGGGAGGCTGCATGAAGTAGAGGATCATGAATTCCCCGCCAAGGTAGTGAGGCGCTGTCAGCAGGAGGGCGCCAGAAAGCTGCAGTTTAGCCAGGTTCAGGGGCAGCTGCTTGAGCTTGAGCTTGAGAGCTGGTGGGTGACAGTGAGATTCCCGTCTACAAGTGCTGCAGGTCACCTGTGCCAGGGGTCAGCCTGGGGTCTTCTCGGGCCTTTCATGATCCTGGTTATGCACAGTCAGTTTCTAATTTTCCATTAATGTGCAGCTGTTTTTTTAATGTTCTTGCATTTAGCGTTTCGTTTCGTTGTTTTTTGAGACAGGGTCTCACAGTGTAGTCCAGGCTGGCTTTGAACTGGACTCCAACTTTCGGTCCTCCTGCCTCAGCCTCCGAAGTTCTAGACTACAGGCTGTACCACTGTGCCTGGCTAACATTTCTGTATTTAATATCAGGCTCCCGGAAGGGGAAAGAGAAAAGTGAAAGGGGTGGGAAAGGCAGAGCCTCCTAAGTCCCCTGGAAGTCTCTTCGGGCGAGCCAGAGGGGGTGCAAGCAGGAGTGGAGGGGGGAGCGTGGACGCCTCTCCGTGCCCCGTGGGCCGATGGAGCAAGCAGCCGCCTGAGCGGAGCTGCCCCCGAGCCTGCTTCTGCAGGCGGGGTCACTCCTGCAGGCCGGGTGCAGGCTCCACACGAGAGGCACGGCTACACTTGAACCCAGGGCCAGGGCTGGTGGGGCTGTGGTGGAGCACTGCCTGGCAGTGAGGCCCTAGGCTCCGCCCAACGTGCACACTCACCATGGACAGTCCCTCTGGTCTTTACCATCATACTCTGCTGTCTTCCACGGAGCAGGATGCGAACGTGAAAGCGGAGACCTGACTGTCGAGGGCACCGGGCCGCGCTCAGGCTCACGTCGCTGCCCCCGCCCCGAGCCAAGCCGCCCGGGGGCGCAGGGGACCAGAGACCACGGGGCTCTCTGCGCGACTCCAGAACCCAGCAGCCTCCGCTGAGGGCGTGGCCCTGCTCCACTCCGGGCGGCGTGGACAGGGTCGCCACCTGCCCGCCGGTCCCGGAACTGCAGACGCCTTAGCCGGCTCTGGAGGGGCCTGGAGGGGCCTGGAGGGGCCTGAAAACCTAAGGGACAGCAATTTTGTTTTCCTGGCAACCACACTGGCACCAAGGGTGATTCACGGTATCGATCTCCTATGTAGTCAAATGGCTGAAATACAGTCCTAACTGCTCACAGGGAAATAAAAGGTCACTGCAAGGCGTGGTGATACACGCCTGTGATCCCAGCACTCGAGGCTGAGGCAGGATGGCTGCAAAGTTCGAGGTTAGCCTGGGCTACATAGTGAGTTCAAGGTCAGCTTGGACTACACAGCCAGGCCTTATCTAAAAAAACAAAAAAAGGAAGTCACTGCCACCCACAGAACCACAGACTTGGCATCATCCTCTGCCCACACACACCAGCTTGATCTATTCTAAGGCTCTCTTCTCCCACCGAGAAATACTGCCTCTCCCTTGCACGCTACGTGCCCTTCTTACACCTGGCAAAGTGCTACTCTTCAGGATGGTTGGCCAAGGTCACCAAGACTTCCTTGCTTCCATCTTGAGTGGGGGGAGCGCTGCTCTGGTCCTCAGGACAGGAGGCAGCATGGTGAACAGAAGCCATTCATTGCCTGGGTCCCCTTGCAGAACCTGCAGCTCTCAAGTTCTGTTACTGGCACACAGCAGGCCCTCAAAATATACAGCCCAGAGAGCTGGGCTCCATGGGTTGCGCCTGGGCTCTCTGTACTCGGAAGGCTGAGACAGGAGAGGACTGAAAGTTCAAGACCAGCCTGAACTACGCAGCAAGCCCATCTCACAATACATTAAAAACTGAAGGCAGGGCCAGGGATTTAGCTCAGTGGTCCTGGTGCTTGCCTTACAAGTGCAGGGTCCCAAGTTCGATCCCCGGTACCAAAAAAAAAACCACCAAAAAAAACCCTGAATGCAGGGGGCCAGGAATGTAGCTCAGTAGTTCTGCCGCCTGCCTCACAAGCACAAAGTCCTGAGATCAATTCCTAATTACAAAAAAAAAAAAAAAATTGAATGCAGGGGGCTCTGTGCTCAGATGTGAGGCCTGGCTTCCTGTCTCAATTCACCCCTAAGTTGCAGATTTGTCAACCTTAGGCCAATCACGGGGCACTCTGGGCTTTCAGAGCAGTTCTCAGGCAGGCGCACTGTGCACTCGTGGGGTTGCTTGGCAACAGGTGCGGCAGTGTATGGTGCTCACACTCGGGATGTGGCATTCAGTGCGCATCATCCTACAACAGCACTGTCCTGCAGTGTAGTCAGGTGGGCAGAATAAAGCACCAACTCCTGACCAGGTATAAAAGGTAGATGACAGATCCTCAGGCCCTGGGCTGTTCCCCCCACCACAAAAACTAAATGAAAAAAATCACTTAACTGAGCAAACCGCATTGACAATGCTTGCAAGTGCCCGGGACTGTGCCAAGTGCTGCCGGTGCATCAGCTCCGAGCTGGGCCACACCCTGCACAAGAGCAAATTTGTCACAGTGTGGGCCGTGTCCCCTGAAAGGTCATGTATTCAGAGGTGGGGCTTCCGGATTGTGGGGCGCCAGCCCTGAGACTGCTCCACTGACAAGGGCACAGCTGAGAGTGTGAGGCCTCGGCCCTCGGCGGTGTGACCCAGAAGGGTGTCTCCCTGGCCCCTCCTGCTCAATCGAACCTCTCTGCCTTGGAAACAGCTGATTGTGGATCAATTGCCTTGAAAATGCAAGTCAAAATAAACCTCTTTAAAACCTCACTGAGCTAAATCCCTGGCCCTGCAAGTTCAAGTCCTACCTGTGCAACTTAGTGAGAGCATGTCTCAAACTAAAACATTCAAAGACCCAAGGTTTACTCAATACAAGAAAAAAGATGACAAGATAACTCAGGGAGGCTGAGGCAGGAGGATCACAAGTTTGAATCCAGAGTGAGCAACTTAGTTGCATCACACACACACACACACACACACACACTATGGTTTTACCAAAATAAAAGGACCTCCCCCCCCCCCAAAAAAAGTACTGTTTTCATTTATTCAATTAGCAGATGAATTTGGGAAGTAGTGCTGGCCAAAGGACAGGCAAAGAGGCCCTTCTGTAAATTGTTGCTGGAATTACAAATGAGTCAAAGCTTTAGGCCATAGTGACCAAAATGTTAACCGGGCCTGTTAACCGGTGGGAGGAGCCCTGAACAGTTTAAAGCCCCTCGCAGGTCTCGGGAAAGGCAGGCTGCAGGCGGACAGCGCCACTGTTCTGGGACCCGAGCACTTCAGGTTTGGTGTTTGATGGGGCAGGAGGAGTGTCCTGGAAGGCACCTCCCAAGCCACAGAGGGGTGAATGAGCACCCTCCGCACAGGGACAGAGCAGGCGCCCCTCAGTGGGGCCAGGGAACAAGGACATGTGGAAACGAAGGCATGGCGAGACGCGCTTCTCTGTGCTGGGCCAGAACCCAGGGCCTGTGTGCTAGGGCAGCGTGGTAAACTGAGCAACACCATAGCCCAAAATCCACTTCCTTCCACACTGCAGGACAAGCAGCTTTCATGGTCCTTGGCACTCACCAGGGAGTGAGACTGAGCAGACTGGGGATGGGTTCCTGGTTTCCCAGATGATGCTCACATTTGGCTGGTGTCACTTACCCTCCATTTAAACCAGGGGTCAGCCAGGCCGGGCATGTAGCTCAGTGGTTCTGCTGCCTGCCTCGCAAGTGCAAGGTCCCGAATTCGATCCCCGGTACAAAAAAATAAATAAACCAGGGCTCAGCAAACTTTGTTGTTTGAGACCATCTCATTATATAGACCAGGCTGGCTTCGAATCGCACTGACCCTCCTGCCTCAGCCACCCAAGTGCTGGGATGATAGGTGTGTACACCACCCACCTTTTTTTTTGGTACCAGGGATCAAACTCAGGTCCTTGGGCTTGTGGGGTAGGCGAAGCCACTGAGCTAAATCCCTGGACCCTAGCAAACCATTTCTAAAAGGCCCACACCATTAGGCATTTTAGTTTTTTGTTTGTTTGGGGTTTTTTGGTACTGGGGATTGAACTCGGGTCCTTGGGCTTGCAAGGCAGGCAGTGGAACCATTGAGCTAAATTCCCAGCTTAGGCATGTTAGTTTTTGTAGGTCATTTCCAAGATTTGTCTTTTTCTCTCCTTGCTGAGACAAAATACCTGACACCCAAAGTTGAAGGGGAGGCCAGGGATTTAGCTCAGTGATGCTGCCGGCAGCCTCACAACCACAAGGTCCTAAGTTCGATCCCCAGTACCAAAGTTGAAGGGCAACAGGTTTGTTTGGCTCACAGTTTGTAGAGGTTCAGTCCGTAGTCGGCTGGCTCCGAGGCAGGGTGGTTTGGCAGAGAAGAAAGTTTATGGTGGCCAGAAGGTAGCAAAGCAACAAGGGACTTTAACAGTCTCCCCGCCCCTTGTATTCTACCCAGACTATGGGATCAGGGCGGGGCCAAGCCAGTCACTCCCTAGTAGTGGTTTAGTAATCACAAGCGCTTAATCCCAGCATCACATTCCAGATTCAGCTACCTGTGACCCCAAGGTTTTGGGGGACATCTAGACCCAAACTGTCACAGTCATATACAGTATTCTTTTGTAAAGCACCTTTATAAATGTAAAAACCACCTGCATGGAGGTGCACACCTGCAAGCCCAGCACTCTGGAGGCTGAGGGAGGAGGTTCCCAAGTGTGAACCCAGCCTGCGCAACTTAGCAAGACAGTCTCAGAATTAAAAAAGCAAAACCCACTCTTGGTGCCTCCATCAGTGAACAGCTGGGATAAAGGGAGGTGTGGCCAAGGACAGCAAGGACTCCAGGTCTGGAGCCTGCCCTCCTGGTCTCTGAGCAAGGGGAGGGGTGGATGCGCTCACAGCAGAAAGACGTTGAGTCGGTTACAGACCGGACAGTTTATTATTCTGTAGCAACACAGAACTTTTTCCATGCAGACTCAAATAACCATGTCAGCATGAATAATGGATGTTCTTCCTAGTTACACAGAAAACCAAGTTTTAACACATTCTTGCAAAGAGAGGCCACATTAAGACCTCCACCTTAGCACGAACCCTGGGGCACACTCCCAGGACAGGGCCGGCCCATCCTCCAGACAGCGTGGCCGGCAGCTTCTCCTGGAACCTGCCCAGCCTGGAATCGTCTCTGCTCACTGCTTCCGGGTTCTGCGCAGTGCCGGGGACTGAGCAAGAGCCCTGTGCATGCTAGGCAAGCACGCTACACTGATCTACACCCCGGCCCTGCTCACAGGTTATTTGGAGCTTCAGTGGTAAGATAACAGAGGGGCGGCAGGGCATTCAGTCTGAGCAACAACAACAATCCCGGCAGGGTGCGGCCTCGCCCAGCTCCCAGCCGGAAGTTCTTTCCCTCTCCAGCTCCATCAGCACGGACAGAGGTCACCTATGAATTCACCCCAGCAACCAGTTACTTTGGTGAGAACTGAGGTCTTTTAATCAGTTTCTTTCCTCCCACCTCTTGATTAGTGATTTCCAACTACGTAGGAATAGAATTAACTCTGGGTCTCCATTGTTACCAAGACAGAAATACCAAGTAAAAAGTATTTCTCACATAAAATTAGTACTATTTTGTTCTCAACGATGTAAAAACAGGGGAAGAGGCAGTCTTCAGCTTAGTGCGAGACTGTAAGGGCCAAGCTGTCAAAAAATGCCTTTGAACAGTACAAAAGATTGCTTTTAAATTAACACCAAGTGTATTGCAAACATATGTAAGAATGATAAAATTACAGAAAACAAGACTGACCCATCCCATTCATACCATACTGCAGTTCTGCCTCCAACAAAATCGTGAATTTCATCCCCAAAAGTTGGTCACTTCTCTGCTGGCTGGAAGCTTTCGCCGCAGACCCTGTGGGTGTGACCAAGGCAGCCAGCACATGTGCACAGGCACAGGCACAGGAGCCATTTCCTAGCCGGCCACCAGGGCTTCTCGCTGGCAGAGGCTCTGATTATGAAGTCACACATGTGGTTCTTGGCTTTGTCTTGAGCAATTGCTAAGAGTTTATCTGTGGGAAACCAACTTTGAAAGTCGCAACAGAAATCAATGAAAAATCTTTTAATATAAAATATACACATTTCGCAGTATGAGGACTTCCACAGAACAAAGAAACTAAAATGTATTTTCTTAAAAAACAACACTCTTCTTACCTTGTCCCTGATATTCAACATTCAAAAAACAAATCTGTACAAAACTAGGACACAGAAAAGGACCGGAGATGACGCTGCTGTAGTCTTGGGACCAACTTGCAAAGACCCTGTCCGCCAGAGCAGAGGGCCCAGGTCCACTCAGGGGGCAGCCACCCGTTGCCCTTGTTTTGCCAAGGGTGCCCGCCCCTGTCACTCGCTGTCAAACTTGATGGAATTGACCTGGACAGAAATGGAGCCTCCTCGGTAGCTGCCTCGCTTCTTCTTGGTTTTCTCGTGCCTGAAGGACTTGCCTTTGGTGAACTTCAGAACCTGATTGGCCCGTTCCCCCCAGTCTCCGGCTGCACCTTTCTAGTAAGCAGAGGCAATTAATGCTCACAGGACAATGCCGGGCCCTGTCCCCTTGTCTTCCCACTCCCTGCTCCAGGCAACTGGAGCCCAGCTAGCTTCCTACCAACCCCAATGAGGAGCCGACTTTGTTCCTCCCACTCTTGCCTCAAGAATAGACTCTGTCTCTCCTCACCTTGGCATCGAAGGAGTTGTCTGCCACTCGGGAATCCACCTCAATTTCCTCCTCCCTGACCCTCCGAAATGGGGAAGATGCTCTTTTTTCTCCCTGGAGAATGAAGCAGGACATTAATGATGGAGTGGTCACTGAACAGCGCTCCCCAGTGACAGGCATGCTGTGCAGGCCAGGCCAGGCCAAGCTGTGAAGGTGATCTGGATCTTTCTTCCTAGCTTTGAAGGTCTGGCTCCTAAGAAAATGAGACAACGTACTTTCTTCCTTTTTGGAAATGTGTTGGGAGTCTGCAGCTTCATCTTCTTGATTTGAGGAGTCTCTGCCTCTTTGACTGCCTCATTCTGCTTCCGCTTCTTTCCAGAACCTGCAAAACAAAAGCCACACTCATGAGGCCAGGTGGCTGTTTTTCCCCTCCGGTTCCCAGAGGGTCAGCGACGGGGAGCCGGGCCCGGGCCTCTTCTCCCACCCACCTGGACCTGGGGGCAGAGACCAGATTCTCTAGACACAGACCTGGTTTGGTGGAGGCCACTGCTGCCTTTTTGTTCCCTGCCGCTCCCTCCTCCTTGCTGTCCCCGCCAGCCTTCCCATTCTGAGCAGTCAGTGCTGAGGTGCCATTGGCCTTGGGAGCTTGGGACCGTGGAGTGGGCTTGCCCTTGGGTCTCTCCTCTTCCTCACTGGAATCATCCGAGGAAGAACTGCTGCTGCTCTCAGCCTTGGCTTTCTTGGTAGAGGCTGCCTTTGAGCAGGCTGCCCCTCCGGCCACCTTTGCAGGCTTCTTTTTCACTGGGGACTTGGATATCTTCTCTGCCTCCTCTTCACTGCTGGAGCTGTCGGAGTCGGAGCTGCTGCCCTGTGCAGCCTGTCTGGCAGGCAGAGACAGTGTGGCTTTGGCGGTCACCTTAGGCTTCAGGGTGGCCGTGGTCTTCTGTGTCTCCTCCTCTGCACTGGAACTGCTCTCTTCCTCACTCGAGCTACTATCAGCCTTCCTGCTCAGAGGCTTCTGTCCACTGCCTGCAAGCTCCCTGGGATTGGCGGCTGCAGGCTTGGCTGCAGCTTGCTTAGGAGTGGTGGCTGGCTGACTTAAGGACTTCTTAGCACTACTGGCTGGCTTGGTTGGAGCTTCATCCTCGGAGCTGTCAGAGTCTAGACAGAGGGGACAGAATAAGCAGCTCCTCGAACCAGATTTCAGGGGAGCCCTCTAGCACTCCCCAAGGCCTCCGCAGGCTCACCTGAACTGTCTGAAGTGCTCTCCTCTGCCTTCTTTGCTGGAACTGGTTTGGCGGCTGCTTTGGAGATGGCTGCTTTAGCTGGGGGTTTCTTCTCTTCCTCAGAGCTGGAATCTGGGGAGAACCTGTGGCATTATGCTAGGTCCAGAGGCCCGACCCAACCAGGAGGGCAACGGGAAGAACGCAGGCAGCCAGCACCTTGGCCCAGCCCAGTGCATCCGAAAGTGACACAGGCACAGAGGCTCTCTCGTCCTTGTTCTTTATGCTCCCAGGCCCACCCTGGTGGGTAGCTGAGCTTGCTTACTTACCAGACTCATCGCTGCTGTCTTCACTGCTTTCCTTGGGATGTTTCTTCTCCACAGCTTTCTTAGAAGATTGGGCTCCCAGAGGCTTCTTTGGTGGGGGCACAGAACTGTAGGGACCTGTTTAAACAGGACAGTCTGGTGGCTTAAAATGTGTACACAAGCACTAGGATGTGGCTGAAGCACAGTGCTTGCCTAAGGACCTGAGCCTGACCCCCTGCACTACAAAACAAAAGAACACACTCAAAAATTCTGATACTGCCTCTCTTAAAGATGGTGCGTAATTCTTTTTCCCTCGAATGTAGGTCGAGGAACAGAACCTGGCTAAGGGGACGGTGTGTCACTTCTGAGCCTAAGCCACACAGCATCACGGCTGCCCTGGCCTCCCGGGGCCCCGGCTCTGGAAGAGGACAGGGGTCTCAGCATGTGTGCTCAGCAGCCCCACTGAGAGCTCCAAGTCCTGACTGCACCTGGGCCCGGCGCCACACCATCTCATTCCACGCCCAATTACCTGATTTTTTCTTCACGGGCTTTTTCCGCCCCTCCTCCTCACTGGAGGACTCTTCACTACTAGAACTCTTCTGAGCTGAAATGACAGCTGCTTTTACAGAGGCCTTGGCCACAGCCTGCTTTTTAGGTGTAGTCTGCAGAGAAAATCAGTTATCAGAGAAAAACACCGATGCAAACAGTGTGGACTGGAAACTGAGACACCCATCCCATCAGTTTCCCTGACAGACCTTCTTGGGGACAGCTGCTGCCATCTCCTCCTCGGAATCTTCACTGCTACTGCTGCTACTGCTGCTGCTGCTGCTGCTGCTGCTGCTGGCGGCTTTGCCATTGGCCACCTTAGGTGATGTTTGAGCTGGTGTACCTAAGGAGAGAAGGTATATTTTAACGGAGGAGCAGCCATGAAGGAGAGCGCTATGATTTATCAGGAGGGATATAACGATCTAAAAGAGAACAGCATGATAAAAAATAACCTAAACACCTCCCCTGAAGCCTTTCACTTCCACCTCTATTTAAAAAAGCTTACATTTCATTTATCATAACCAAACCTGCACGGTAAGGAAAATTACTCAAGCTTTTTGTAAAACATGACATTGATCGTCAATACCCCTAGTGCAGCAGCCAACACGACCTCACCTCAGTGCCCAATGAGCAATTTTAACACCTCCTCCCCAGCTCACCCTCTTGGGAACAGAAACAGTACCTGGTTTGGCCCGAGCTTTCGCCTGAGCTTTTGTGGCCACGGGTGTTGTCTTTGGCTTGTGGTTCTTTGGTGCCTCATCCTCTGAACTTGAGTCAGACTCAGACTCAGACTCGGACTTCTTGGTCTTCTTAGGAGGAGCTCTAGCTGCCTTGGGTTGGAGTTTGACTCCCTTCTGCTAGAAAATACACAAAGTGGAGAATCATGGAGAGCTTCTGGGTACCCGAAGGACATCTGAGGCTTTTATTTCTTAGGGGTAAAGAGAACACAATGGGTGGAGAAACCCAAGTAGGACAGTATACAGCAAGGGGAATACAAAAGTTGGGTGGGCATGGTAGGGCTGAGGATGTAGCTTATTAATACTGCACTAACTTAGCATGCATGAGGCCTTGGGTTCCAGTACTGGAAAAAAAAGAAAAAGAAAAAGAAAAAGTTGGGCATGGTAACAGACACACTTGGGAGGTTGTCTGAGGCCAGCTACTTGAAAGGGTCCTTGTCCCTGTCATATCCTGCTACCAGTCACAACAAAACCCCCTCTTTCTCTTGAACTTGAAATCTCCTGCCTCAGCATCCAGAGTATCTGAGGTGATAGGCAGGCAACACCATTCTGGATTACATAATCACCCCTCGTTTACAAGCAAAGGGCCAATTTTAGGGTTTTTTCTTTCCAAACCCTTCAGCAACCCTCTTTCCTCCCAAAGCTGCAAACCTGAACAATGTTTTTCTTTTTGTCCTCTTCCTCATCATCACTGGATTCTTCACTGCTGCTGCTCTCCGAAGTTTTGGCCACAGTCTTTCCAGGATGCTGAGGTGGACTGGCCCGCTCAGCAGGTACAGATAGAGCTGAACAAAAACACAGGCCCAGGAAGAATCAGCCTGTGGTTTAGGTGGGCAGCAAATTCTCTTCCCGGGGCCACTGAGCCCAAACCGCCAGTTCTGCCTTACCAGACTTCTTAGCTGGAGGTCCTCGCGCCTCTTCTTCCTCCTCACTGCTGTCCTCACTGCTGTCACTGGATGAGCTGCTCTTCTTAGCCTTCTTAGTCACCGGTCCATTTGCCTGTAACTTCCGCTTGGGGGCTTTGGTGGACCTGCTGGGGTAGAATGGGCTAACTTCTGGGGGCTTAGGACCTTCTCAACCAAGGAACATAGCCCGGCCCACCTGGGAGAGAAAGCAGCCCAAGTGGTACACTGAAGGCTTACTTGAGCCAGAAGCTATAGATGTCCAGGAGGGAGGAGGCGTTGGCATCCTGTCGCGTCTGTAGGAGGGAGATGTAAGGAAATGTTATCCTGACTACTCTAGAAGAGGCCAGATTTTGTGCTTTTCCTTCATTATGTACCTACTAAAGTTGGAAGGGATGTTACACCTTCATAAGACTTTGCCTACCTGAATAAATGAATAAAGTAAGAAAAAATATTTTACTTATGGATCTCCTGACTTTTGGTACCAAAACAGCCTATCCTATAGTTTATGGCATCATCTATCCCCCTGCCTGCCAATCTGTAGTTATTAAAGATTTCTTAAAAGTTCACCTCTTTTATCCTAAGAATTTAATGTTAGGCACAAACACTGACACAAGGTAGTGTTTGATCTAATGCAGATTATCATACCAAATTAATGGAAGTCACCAAGCCTGGTGGCACATACCTGTAATCCTGGCACTTAGGAGGCTGAGGCAGAAAGATCCCTGCAAGTTCGAGGCCAGCCTGAACTACAGAGCCCAGACCCTGTCTCAAACCTCCCCCCAAAAAGGAAATCTAGATTCCCTACCCACCCTTCACAATCTTGAGCATCTTGCCCTCACAGGTGTTTGGAGCACTCCAAACTGCCCTAACTGGTAAAAGCTATGACTCATCTCACTTTCTGTGTGCCAGCACCGGAACTGCTACGTTTATACTTTATCTTATGGAAACTAACAAAAATCCTATAAAACGGATGACATTCTTGTAGAGAAGAAACAGACTAAGAGAAAGCAAGGTGACAGAGTCATACATCTAATATGTGGCAGAGCCCGGTCCCAAGCCTAGGTTGGCTTGATTCCACTAGTCAAAGGTCCAAGCTCATTGCTTTGCTAGCTTGGTAAGACTTTGTAGTAAAAAAAAAAAATCCTGGCCTTCAAGTCTAAAGTAATTTCAGTCACCCTGCACTCCCAAGTAAATGCGTTCGACCGCAAGGTCAGACCAAGCTTTGCCTGGGTCAACAGGAACCCCAAAAGGTATCGGCCTGGCGACTGCCCTTGGTGAGACCAGGAGCTCGCAGCTCGTCGCACTCTGCCAGCCACGTGACCCGGGCCACGCGGGTCCCAGGCCGCCGCCGCTGCACAGGGTCCTCAGGAAAAAGACTTGGGGCTACTTGGTCAGACCTCGTGGGAAACGAGGCTCCGAGTCCCACGCTTCTTCCAGTCACCCCGACAGGGAGCACAAAAGTCTCGCCAACTCTGGACTGGCGGAACCCACAGACCTCGCCACCCCGAAAACCAGGCTCATCGAGGCCTGGAGCCTGGAGGTCATCCCACCCCGGCCCGCGCACCAGGCCCAGGACTCACAGCGCCCGTCGCCTTGGCGAACTTATTGGCCACATCCGAGAGTTGGTTATCGCGCAGAAAGCCGAGCACGAGGGGGTACAAGTCGCTGGGAACCACGCGGCGCAAGCCAGCGTCCGCCATCCTCCGGCAATACGCGTCACTACCGTCGCAGAAGGGCGACTGCGAACTCAGGGACTCGGCCGGGGGCGGGGCCTGACGTCACTGCGCCGCGCCGGCGGGTAGCGGAAGGGGTGGGGCTACGGCGCAGGCGGGGCCGCGTCGAAATCCCAGTTCCTTTTGGTCCCAGGCGCGTCGCCATCTTGCAAGGGCGGAGCCCACCGGCCTCCTTTGTGGAGGCGGAGTTCTGACGTAAGGGGTCACGCTCCGAGCCAAGGCGGGAAAACTCGAGATTCTCTGCGCGCTTTTCTGCTGGAAGCACTTTCCTTGAGCACTGCCCGGCGCCCCAGCTGCGACTTGGAGCTCAGCATAATGAATGAATGGACCAGCAGGTCATAGCCACCTTTGTCTCTCCAGATTCGGTCCCGATGTCGCCCAACTGTCTACTCACGGTGCGGGTGGATTCCGTTCCCTCCCTCCACCACCCGGGGAGAGTCTCCCAGAGTCCATCTTTTCCTATCCGGCGATAGAGGATCCTTCACGTTGATTCCCCAAACCGCCCATTCCAGGCAGCCCTTACTCCTCCTTGCTTACGCAGCCTTAGTTCAGCTCCACAAAGGAAGAGTGAGCAACCAAATATGAAGCACACAGCAGTGAGTCCTTCAGTCCATAGTCCTGAGAATTGTTCTTTTTCCTCCCTGGTCGTAACTCCCCACTATGCAGGTCCCACCCCTTTAACCCTACTCCTTGACTACTTCCCATTAATGCGCCACAGGACGGGCAAGGGTCCACTTCTAGACACCATTCTCCTTTGCCTTTCTCAAAACAGTCATTTCCCTGACCTAGAGAACTCTTACATCTGTTTCTGCATGCATTCTAACATACAGGCACCCGCTGTGTGCCCAGTATTGTGCTCAAACTAAGATGGTGATCTCAACTGAAATGGGGAAGGTGCATATAAGGCCCCTCAGAAAACCTTATTTACAAGTGTTCCTTCTAATCCTTGCTGTCAAAATCCCTTCCTGGGCCAGGGATTTAGCTCAGTGGTGCCGACACTTCCCTCACAAGCACGAGTTCCTGATCACCATACCACAAAAACCAAACAAACCCTCCCGGGACTATCATTATTGCCCCGAATTTGAAATGCAGAAGCTTAGACTCCCACCCCAGAATTCAGAACCTGCCTTCTAAAAACATCTCCAAATGATTCAAATCCCCTTTCAAGTAGGAGAAGCAAAGCCCCTAGATAACTTACTCCACAGATAACACACCTGAGGAGGCAAATTTCAAATCTGGTGGTGTCGCATGTGGGACAAGCACCGCCGGGATGAGCAGCTAACCAGGCTTGTAGACTCAGAACCAGAGTTTAAGAAAGACACCTTAGGGCCGGGGATTTAGCTCAGTGGTTTCGCCGCCTGCTGCACAAGCCCATAGGACCCGAGTTTGATCCCCAGTACCAAAAAAAAAAAAGAAAGACACTTTATTTGTAAGGAGGGAAAAACAGAAGACAGGTCCCCTTGAGGGGGCTCCAGAAAGATGGAAAACCCATTAGTCCCTGGCTTCTTTTATGATCTTTTGAGGGATTCTTCCTCCCTAGGAACTTGTCACAATTTGATTGGCTCCCTGGGCTGTCCTTGGATTAAACCAGGCAGCCTTATCCACATGCACATTTCTTTTGGTGGGCCTTTGACCTTTTTCTGCCTGTTTGTCCTTGTCAGGGCCTTATTTCCGGGATGAGCTGCTGGTTGGTTAAGGAGAAGCTTTGTAAGGTCAGCTTATAGTAAGGGGATGTGTGTCTATTTGTAGTAATATAGGGACCCTACAGTAAAAAAATATATAGCTATAAATGTGTAAGTGCATAGGTGTGAGTATATATTTTTATTCACTGAAGAGGGTTTTTTTTTAAGGTAGAGTAGCCCCTGCCCTGCGTGGCTTCTTTACATTTTATTGCAGGTGAGGAAGAAGGGCTGCCTTGGCTTTGTGCACCTGGGTTCTCTGTGTTCTCCCAGGCAGCTTTCCCTCTGGTCCTTTAGTGCAAGTCCCAATGCCATTTGTGCTATCTAGTGTCTTTTTAGAATCTCTCTCTCTCGCTCTCTGTCCTTATCACTGTTTCCAAGGGAGTTCCCCTAAAAGTTTTAACTCCTCCTACTCAGCATCAGCCAAAAGGGCTGGGGATTTAGCTCAGTGGTGGCACCTGCCTGGCAAGCGCAAGGTCCTGAGTTCGATCTCTGGTACCAAAAAAAAAAAAAAAGAATTAGCCAAAAACCTAATGAGGCCCCTATTCTATTCTTTCCCTGTCTACAGACTCCCTTTCCTTATGGTGGATTTTGCACCTGACCAGAGAGAGGCCCTAGGAACTCAATGATCAATGAGGTAAGTACACCTGATTGTGTTCGCAGAGGAAAAGTGACTACACCTGACACTAGCACCACAGAGACAAGTACAACTGCCACCGGGCTTGGTGGCTCCGTGCCTGAAATCCCACTCTAGGAAGCTGAGGCAGAAAGATCTCAAGTTCAAACTCACGCCTGGTCAATTTAGATCTAGCTCAGTGCAAAGGCCCTAGGTTTAATACAATCCCAAACACAGGGACATACCCACATCCACAGTGACACTTGGGAATTCACTCTAGTTCATGTTTAATCAGTCTGCAAAGTGACTGATGTTCCAAAACACTGAAGGAATTCTTCAGTCCCAACCATTTTATATAGGAATGCAAGTGAACTTGTTTCAACCTGTTATAAAAAAAAAATACCCCTTTTAAAAATGTGATTTAACATATTTTTATTTCACTTTTTTCCATTTCTTTATAAAACAGTCATCTCACTAGCAGCTCTCTCCCCAAGAGTGGGGGAAGGGGATGGAGGAGGCTGGACACCTCCAAAGAAAAAGGGAGGGGGAAAGAGCCCAGGGTTACCTCCGCAGGTTCTTCTGGGCCTGTTTCAACAATGTGTCAAAGTCAAGAGAATCAAATTTGCTCTTTACAGGAGCAGGGTCAAAGTCTTCCCGGTTGGAGTCTACAAAGGTAGAGAAAGACAAAAAAAAGATCTCTTAAGATCTCTGACCACACGTCCCAATCACTGGGCTCTCAAATGGCCAGGAATCTATCTCCCTCCAAACAATGGCTGAAGCTAAAATTGCCCTGATTTTAAGTGAAAGATATGTGGGAGAGCCTCGTCTTCCCCTCATCCCACCCTTAGATTCCTTTTGTATGTCAGATTAGGTCTGCCTGGTCCCACTCTCAAAGGATTAGGAATCCTTCCCCCTCCCCCACCCTTTGGTTTTTTGAGACAGCTGTGTAGTCCAGGCTGTACTGTACTGAACTCAGTATGTAACCCAGGCTGGCCTTGACCTCATGGCGATCCTCCACCTTAACCTCCTGAGTGCTGGGATCACAGGCGCGCAGCACTGCGGCAGGCCTAAGAACTCTTCTTGAAGGGAATGAGGTATGGCAAAGCCTCAGGACCTCCCTCTACTCACCAAGATCAGAATAGCTCCTCTTGCAGAACTGCCTGCGGCCCCCAAAGCAGAGATCAAACGGCTGCTCATCTGCCTGCCGCAGCTTGTGGCCACTTTCAATGGCTGCAAATGCCTCCTCGGCACAGCGGTAAGTGACGAAGCCATAGTTGTCACTGGTGGGAAGTGAGCCATTTAGGTACGTGCCATGAAGACACAGCACCCCAGGATACAGATGTGGTTCTTCTCATTTCCCACACCGCCCAGCACAGCACAGCAAAGAGGAAAGACAAAGAAACATGATGCTAGATGAATGGGACTGGAAGGAGTTCCTGACTTGGACCAAGCTTACCCTTGGACACGGAAATGGATGGTGCATTCCTCAATCTCTCCAAAAACAGAGAACCTCTGTTTCAGCTCTGACCGAGTCATACGGCCAGGTATCTTCCCAATAAAGACCACCCTTCTCTCTTCCTGCATTGGATATCAAGAAAAGTAAAGCTATGAGCTAGAGCCACAGCGGCAGCGGACTCTGAGCTCCCGGCTCAGGGCCACCCCACCCCGCGCGACCGCACTCACTATTGCACGCTCCTTTTGCAGCACTCTCTGCCTTTGGTAATGGTCGTGTGCGCGATATGAGCTGTACCTGGCAAGAAAGTGTCATCAGCCTCCAGACAGAACAATTCAAGGCTCAGAACTCTCCCTTCTCTATCCCGGAAGCACTGCTTCCCCAAACACATGCTCACCGCCGCCTCCTGTCACTTCTCCGGCGGGGGGATGGCGAGCGAGAACGGCTTCGGGAACTGGATGATGAGGATGAGGAAGATGAGGACGAGGACGATGAAGAAGAGGAGCATCTTCGGGAACGCCCAGAGGAACTACAGCTGGACCTAGAGGATTCAAGGGCATGCAGGAAGGCTGGGAGTGGTGCAGGTGCACACTACTCACATCACCTAGCCCAGCCCTGCCTCCCTGCCAGGAAGCTCAGAACCAAGGAAAGCAGAGCAGAAGAGGTCTAGAAGGACTTTTCCTCACAGATGAACAAACTGACACCCTTCATGGAACTTTAGATAGATCGGGATGTTCTCGCCAAGTTTGGTCAGACATGATATTTATTTTTAATTATGCCATTGAAAACTGAAAAACATTTAGCAAATCCAAAAGAGGAAGGAAAATCAACAGGGAGATAAAATGCAGGACCCTAGTTCCCATGACCAGCTGTATCTGTGGTGTAAGGGCCAGAATTGCTGTCTGCTTTACTAGTGCTTCCCAACTCAACTGTCACAGAGAAACACCGCAACCAAGACATGAGGGGAGGTGACTGTGTTAGACCTATGGAAAGGGGTATTTTTTTAAAAAAGGGGATATTTCTGGAGATACACATCACTGCTAAAACCCAAGAATTCTTCATTGAGTAAGTAGAAAAGCTTGGGTCTATCTTTAAGAAAAAAAATACTGCTAGGAGGTAGATGAGGCCACCCCATGCAACTGCCTCATATGCTTTACTCAATAGATGATTAATAGGGCCAGGGATTTAGCTCAGTGGTTTCAGCGCCTGCTGCGCAAGTGCAAGGACCCAAGTTCAATCCCCAGTACCAAAAAAAAAAGAATAGTTACCCCTTGGCAATTACCCCACTATCCCACAAATTGCCATGAAAATACCTAGACGACTAATAGAGTATGTAAAGGAGTCACACAGTCAAGACCAAACTCTGCAGTCTCAAGGCATGTCTCAAGGAGGCGGGAGACCTCAGGAATACTCTAAACTCCAACAAGGAATAGAAGCTATATTCTCACAGCTTGCCTCCCCTCAACAGTCCAGAGGACAGAAGATGAAAGCCAAAGAGAGAAACAGAGGCCTTACTGCCTCAAAGTACCCAAGTCAATGTGTGAAAGCTTTCAAAGTAAAGCACAGAAGAGAGTGTATGAACTCCCTAAATGCAGGCCCTAACAAGCCATCAAGAGCTCACCTTCGCCACCTCTTGTGGGGGGGGGAGAGGGACCGGGACCTGGACCGGGACCGGGATGAGGAAGACGACGATGAGGATGAGGAAGAAGATGCTTCACTGGTCCGGTTGGACCCAGAGCTGACAGACCGGCTGCTGTGGCCACGATGGCCCTGCCAGCCCCTGCTTGGGGGGCTGGCTGACCTGCAGGCTTTGCGGTAATAGCGCATGGATCGCTGATTGGCTGGGGGTTCAGGGGGAGTCCTAGTGTTTGTGTCATTCCGGCATGGCGAGGTCTCAGGAGACAGCAAGGCAGATGGGGCAAGGCAAGGTGCTGGGGCTAGTGCCTGCTCACTGCTAGTCCTGTGATCAAGGGGCCCCTGGGAGGTAGCTGGGCATGGGAGTAGGGGATCGGCTGGGCTCAGGGACGAGATGGGTTTGATGGTGATATCCTGATGGCGTTTGACGTTCCATCGGGAGCCCACCTCTGGAATGACTAGGCCAGGCATCTTTTTGGGGGGTGTCCTGCTCCGAACACAATAGTCATGGTCCCCAGAGCCCACATGGACTGGACTAGGACCACAGACCCCTTCTTGGAGGTAGGCTGCAGCTGGATGTTTGGCCTCTGTAACTCCTTCAGGCTTCAGGGTTCCCTCCTGGGCAGTAGACTTAGGAGATTTGGCTTTGGCCAGCAGTGAAACAGCAGCCAGGGGCTTCCATAACTGGTGGGGAGGGGTGGCTGGAGGGGTGAGGCCTGTGAGGGGAGGGAGGATGGAGATAGCAGGATGAGATCTGATTCTGAACTTCCAAACACTGTATCTAGGCTCCAGACCCCACTTCTCACCAAGTACACCAAGCAGAGTCAACAGCCCAGAGTCTCCCACTGTTTCAACTGTTCTTCCACGTCCTCCACCTTGGGAACCAGACAGGAACCCAGACAGCCAGGATCCTCCTAAACCCCCTCATCTTCACAATTACCAAAACCCAGCTGGTGAGTGGGTCCAGCCTACCCACCTGTCCTTAGACCCACCTCTCCACCCAGCTCCGCCCAACTTCCGGCTGCACCTTGCCTGCACTCATGCAAGTCTCCCTGCTTCCAGCTTCATACTTGCCACCTATCTTCTACATTGCTTCCGCTTACAGGAAGAAGTCCAAACAGCTTATAAAGAGCACTTTGCGTTCCCATAATCAGATCTGTTTACCTCTCCAGCTTTATGTCTTGCTTTTGTTCTGCCCACCGCCCTGATCAGCCACTCTGCTCCAGTGAAACCACATCACTTAACAACCCCCCAAAACACAGGCTGGTTCTGGTTCTGCGTTCACTCAAGCTGCCCCTTTTGATGAAGATACCCTGTCCCCTGAATCTACCATCTGAATGGTTTCAGTGGTTCTCTCAAGTCTCACCTTCTATATCCCCCTTCCCTGACTGGCCCCTTTGGGTCTTACTAAAATACAAACTTCTGTAACACACCACTTCCAGTTCTCAGCATGCTTCTTTGATTACACATCTGCCCCTAAACTACGAGCACCTCAGAATGGAGATCAGATCTCTGTATTTTCAATGCCTACACGCACCTGATGGAGAGCAGGTGCTGCACATTTGCTACACAAACTAATCATAGGCAGAGTTCCCCAACCTGAACCCACCTGCCACGTTGGCCAGCTCTGGGGCTTGTAACCGGTCTAGGGGTCTCTTCTCCTGGGGAGTGTCAACGCTGCTGGCAGGGGGGGAAAAGGGAAAGCCTGGTTCATTGCCTCCTCAGTGTCATGTACATCTGCTTTCCTCACAAAGTGACCGGAGAAGCGTGTGTGCAGAGAAGAATGGGAAGGTACAAACTGCTCCCATCATCCTCCTCCAGCCCAAAAGGGTACAGTGACTGAACTGTAGGCTGGGTCTCATCTCAGCTCTGCCCAATTCCAGGAGACAGGCTGGCTACGACCTTGAGTACCCCCACCTCCTTCAAATCAAGAGCCTTGCCTACCACCTCAACCAACCTGAAGTCAATGCAAAGAGAAACATGGTTGGTAAAACAGGATGGTGGATCATGAACATGAAAAATGAAAAAAGTCCTCTCATTGCTGGATTGGGGAGCAAGGAGGCCCAGGGTACGTGTGTCCTCCAAGGTGTCAGGGAAGCCCTCACCATCAGTATCTCCCCCCACTTTAAATTACCCCATCACCAGCACTGAGCAAGCTTAACATCTGTTAAGTAAAGGAAAGAAATCCCCAAAAGCAGAACTTGCCAAGATAAAAAGAATCTCTAGGCACCTGGAACTCCTGACTACAATCAGCAGGAGGGCAGTTCATACTCTCCCACGTCACCATCAAACAAGGGCAGTGCCCAGTGGTGGCAGGCAGGGCAGGGCGTGGGGAACTGGGAAGACTCTGGAGCTGACTGCATGTCCCTGCAGTGGAGGCATCCAGCAGACAGTCCTGGCACACCAGCTGGCTGCCGACCAATAGCCGCAGGGTAACTCATTCACATGTCCCCATGCTTACCCGGAGTTTCCCACAGCTGAGCTGTCAGCGGGAGCCAGGGGAGGACATTCCTTTTTGGCTGCAAAGAAACCATACCAGTTGAAAGCCCAAGCAGATATTCCAGACTGAGGTGGCACAGGAAGGCTCAGACTCTAATGGGGGAAGTCTGCTTTGTCCACATGTTCCCAGCTGGGCTCGCCCAGAGAGGCCATCTCCATTAGTGGGTGCCCAGGTACTATTTAATCTCGTCTCTGCTCTGTTCAGAATCACCCACTCTCTGAGAGTCCAACTATAGAAGCTTATTAGTATTCAAGTTTCTATGTAATCTTCCTAACTTCCTAGGTTACTTTGGGGTGGTGGCAGGAAGCTGGAATTGAACCCAGGGCACTGTACATGCTGAATACACATTATTGTTTTGGGGGTTTTTTGGAGACAGGGTCTATTGCCAGGCTGGCCTCGACTTGATGCGTCCACCTCCCAGACAGTTGGGATTACAGGTGTGCATGACTGTGCCCAGCCATAGCGTAGTCTGGTCCCACATCTGTCTTTCAGTACTAGAGGTGTGAACCCAGGATCCTGGGCTAGGTAAGCACTCTTATCACCGGGCGAGGCGACATCCTCAGCTTTTTTTTTAAATATTGAAGCAGTCTAAGCTGTCTAGGGGTGGCCTCAAACCTGCCATGCTCTTGCCTCAGCCTCTTGAGTAGCTGACATTATCGGGTGTGCACCACCCTGCCCAGCCCACACTTGTGTTTGGCTTGCCCGATAGATACTTGGTACCAGCGCATGGCCATCTCCCCAGTTAGACCAAGAGCTCCTTGACAGAAGTCACAGGAGCCCCATGGCACGTAGAGCCTTGCCCTGTCTTTAGAAAGTCAAGCTCTTCAGTGCCTTCCAAATACATCATCTAAGGTCCTTCCTCTACCCCCTTGCTCCTCTATTACCACATATATTATCTTGGAAATCCTACCTTATAAGGGTCAGCTTGAGAGCTACTTCCCTCTAGGAAAATATCCCGAAACAATCCCAACCTACCCAGATCTCCCTATCTACCCCTGGAAATCTTGTCTGCCCAGTCCAACTGGGGGCTGCTCTAGGGGCTGAGACTGCCCTGCACTCCAGCTGAACCAATACAGGGCTGAGTCTACAGGAAGTATCAACAAAAAAGGGTTGGAACAAAACCACCCAGCTTTTCTCACCTTCTGATTTCTCAAACTGCTCCAGCAGACTGGATAAGTCTGATGCCTCGATTCCTACGGAGGAACACAACACAGGATTGAAAGCCAGCCCCCATCAGCCGAGCACAGTGAGTACACCCTGCCTCTCCCTTTACATCTCTGCCCACCATATGGAGCGAACCTAGTCAGCACAAAGCAAGAAGGACTGAAACAAGCTGAGTTCCACTTCTGGACACCCGCCAAAGAAATGCAGAAGGCAGCCTCACCAAGGTGGCTCACTTACCCTGCTCTGGGGGAAGCCCCAGCCGCCCCATCCCTCTCGCACCAACTGCACTGTGCACTCACCAGTCTCACTGATTAAAGCCTGCACCACATCCTCAGGACCCTGGGTACGTGGGGTGGGCAGAAAGGACAGCTTCCTTAGGCGGGCTGGGTGGACAGCAGGCAGCTTGGGGACAGTGCTTTGCCTGGGTATGGAAACAGCCCTGACAGCAGGACAGAGGGGCTTCTCCTTGAGCTTGCTCTCCTGCACCTCAGGCTTTAGGCCCTCTGATGCAGATTCCTCCACAGCCACACCCTCAGCAGACAGACTTGGCGGGGCCTTGGTCCGGGGAGTTTGCACCAGGGAGGACACCTTGTGTTTCACATGGGGAGATGCAGGCACTGACTTGACTTCGACCTTGGTGGCCTCTACTTGTGGAGCTTCATGGCCAGCTGCCCCAAGACTGAGGGAAGGAGCCATAGGCACAGGAAGTACATTTTCAGGGGCGCCAGCTGGAATGGCATTGGGCTCCACCATGGGTGGGGGAACATTTCTCCCAACAGAGGCTGGAAGCAAAGGAGGTGGGGGAACAGCCGGCCAGAATGGAGGGTGTTGTGGCCTTGGGCCCCAACCCATGGGCCCATAGGTACAGCTGGAGCTGTAAGGTGAGACTGGGGCAGGAGGGGGGACCCAAGGCACATTACAAGTGGGGGCCATAGCGTAGGTGCTAGGAGTACTGGACACTAGCGGCACCACTGGTGGGGGCGGCAGGCAAGGGTAGCCAGGAGACACAGGGGGATAACAAGGCCAGGGGGGCACATGGGCATAGTGAGCATAGGGATCAGGGGGCACTGGCGCCATGGACACTGGAAGACCGGAGGGCTGCAAGGGAGGTGGGGGTGGACTGGGGGCCACTTGCCCACTTGCAGGAAGGGGCAGCGTAGGGGGGATCCCCAGGCCACTTGGGGGAAAAGGCAAAGGAGTGGGCATTGTGGAAGGAGTGGGCATTGTGGAAGGAATGGGCCTGGCAGGAGACATGGACTGCACAATAGGAAGGGAAGGTCTCGCTGGCAGTGGCACCTCTTCGGGTGGCACTTTTTCGGGGGGAGTTGAAACCACAGGTTTGGTTGCAGGTTCAGGACTCGGAGAAGCAGGACTGGGTCCCACGGGCACAAAGCAAGCCTCAGGAGGAGCTTCCGGGCTCCTCTGCAAGGCTGTCTTCTTGGCGGGCGCTGGTGGGACAAGACAAGGGATGTCTGCCAGCCCTGTGGGGGTCTCTGGGAGGCTAGGCCACTTCCCCGCTGGGGGCTGGGAACTCCTCTCTTCTGCCTCTGCCTGCCGTTGCTGCCTCCGCTGCCGGTACTCAGATAGGCTGAGAGGCCGAGGTTTGGTTTCCTGGGTGGGAGCACTGGTACCACTTTCCACCTTCAGAGGACCTACAACCTCCTTGCCTTCAGGGATGACAGCCTTTAAGGGGTCTGAGGACTCTGAGTCCCAGGGAAGCTGAGAAGCTGGATTCCCTTGGGCTGATGACACTGCACCACGTCTGGGGTCGGTTGGTCGGGACTTAACTAGCACAGGGTCGGCTGGAGCCGTATCATTAGGAACAGAATCAACTGGCACTGGGTCAGCTAGGACAGTTTCAACTGGTGACAAGTCTGAGATGGGAGCAACCACTGTGGGATCAGCTGCTGCCGAGTCAGCAAGGACTGGGTCAGTCAGTACTGGGTCAGCCGGGAGAGGCTCAACCAGCTCTGAGCTGGCTGAAGCTGGGTCAGCAGGTACAGGGTCAGCTAGAGCAGGGTCCACAGCAGTGAGCCTGGCTTCAATAGAGTCAACTGGCATGGGGGCAGCTTGAGCAGAGTTAACCAAAGGGAGATGGGTCAGAACAGGGTTGGCCTGGATTGTGTCAACCAGCTTAGAGTAGAGGTCTAGAGGATCTTCTTTAGCAAGGCTACCTTGTCCAGCACTTTTGTCCACGTCCCCAGAGCTAGGCTTCTCCAAGGCAGCTGCCCATGCCTGAGCCCAAGCCCGAGGCTTCCCCCTTCCCCGGGGAGGCCCAGCCACTCTCTGAAGTTCTTCCTGAGGCTGCTTCTGTAAGTTGCCAGTCTGAGAGGCCACTCCTGTGGCCACAGTAGGTTGCCCACGAGAGGATGATCTCAGCCTCCTGGCATAGCCCTCCACACTGGCTGCTGTCTGCTCCTTGCTTTTCTTCCTCCTGCCTCTCCGAGCTTTCTGGGAACCCAGCACTGCACTGGGAGGTGGGTTCTGAGGCCCACTGGGTCCCAATGGCTCTGTGGCCTCTCTGGGCTCCAATAAGCAAGCTGAATCCAGCAACAACTCCTCTTTCTGAGGGCAAGGAACCACCTTGGGCACGGCAGCCTCTGTCTCTGACTCCAGCGTGGGCAGAAACAGCTGCAGTGGGTCATCCAGGAGCACAGACTCAGGTCCAGTGGGGATCTGCCTTACCACAACTGGGATCTGCAAGCCATCAGCAGCTGTGGCTGCCTGGCCCACGATCTCCAGCACCACACAACCCTCAGGCAGTGTCAATTCTTCTTGCTTTTCCCGAAGCTCATCCTCAAGTGATGCCAGGTGGGTGAGATTGGGCAGGCAGTAGGGATGCATGGCCCGTACCAGCTCACTCAAAGAAGAGATGCTCTCGTCACCAGCTGATGGCATGGCCACCTCTGCTGCTGTTGCTCTGTCTTCCTCCTCTGGGCAGGCCAGGTGCATGGGGAAATCTGGGATGGTGCTCATGGAACTGTCAAGCTCCCCAGCAAGCATCTGGCCACTAAAGCTGGCCACCTCTTCCTCTTCTTCACCATCACTCCGCTGCTGGGAAGGCGGGGACTGGCCCCAGCGCAGTCTCGACCTTGAGGACCTCCAGCCAGGGACCCTGGAAGAAGATGTCTCCAGGAAGGAAGGTGGGGAGAAATCCCAAGGGGGATCTGCAAGTGACATCTCAACCTGCAAGAAAGAAGAAAAGGTTCTCTCAGCAAAGTACTTTCCAGACATGTCCCTATAGGCTTCCCACCATCTGCAAGTTCCACACAGGGCAGGCTTACCCCACTCACTCTATTACTGCCTGTGCTGGGCCCCAGTGGGTCAACTGGGGTAATGAAGTCACGTTCTGGGGGTGTTCGAGAAAGAGTGAGCAGCTTGTGCAGCTAAGAGGGAGAGAAAGACCTAAGGTAAGTTTGTGCTTTAAAGCTAAGTGAATGGCCAGTAGCTATGGTTGCAAACTTTATACCAGCCACACATCCCCTCTCCCTGGTCCCACACTCACAGAGGAGCCCTCTCGAGGAGACACAAGTAGCTCTGAGTCAGGAATGCTGTCAAATGGAGACAGGTTCTCAGAATCTGCATTGTCCAAGATCTCCGTCAGAGCTGTGAGCAGCGATACTTCATTCTGGTCCTCCAGAGATAACCTGCTCTGCTCCAGAAAGACAATGGAAAGGTCCCACCAACATCTCTATAGCTGCTGGGCCACTGAAAAGGGCCAGATGACAAAGACTCCATCTCCCATGTTCAGCTCAGCTCAGTTTGCCAACAAGGGGGATCTGAGTTATCAAGTGGCATAGGTTCTGATATCATTTACCATCCAAAAAAAGAGTCCTGTCAGACTCGAGTCTTGAACTTGGGCTTCATACAGTCACCCACCTTCAGGCAAGAGGATGCTCAGCAAACAACTCTTGGCTAGATCAGAATAGGGCTTAAAAACAGATCAGTGCCAAGTGTAGTGATGCATACCTGTAGTCCCAACAATCAGAAGGCTGAGGCAAGAGAAATGCAAGTTCAAGGCCAGCCTGGACTACACTGCAAGACTGTCTCAAAAAGAAAAAAGCACAGGCTGGGTGTGGTGTCACACCCCTATAATCCTGGCTCTCTAGGATGATGAGGCAGGAGGGCCAAATTGGAGCCCAGCCTAGTGATTTAGCAAGTCCCTGTCTCAAAAACCAAAAATTCTTTTTTGTTGTTTTTTGAGACTGGGTCTCACTATGTAGTTTAGGCTGGCCTTGAACTCACTATGTAGCTCAGGGTGGCCTAAAACTTGTGGCAATCCTCCTACCTCAGCCACCATGCCCAGCTAAAAAAACTTTTAAAGAAATGCAGAACTCAGCGAGGCCTTGGGTTCACACAAACACACATGCACCAAAACAGATCAGAATGCTCTAGACATTCAGGTCAAGGGCTCACATAGGGGCCTTGGATTATGGTCCAAATTAGCCAGGGCATCCTCACATGGAATAGAACCTGGCAGCCTGCAACCTAACTCCCATCTAGAGACAAAAAACACATTCAGGGACTCAGGTCAGGCATCTGGGAGCTAAGCATGTGGAAGAGCAGAGCCATCCTAAAACACTCCTAAGATTTGAGGTGGAACCTCCCATGCACAACTCCAGCTCCAGCCTGAGCTCCAGCTCACCTCTCCAAGGCTCCCAAAGTCCTCAATGAGTGAGATGAGAGAGGCGTCCATGTAGCTCTGCATGGTCCCCAGCAGTGTCTCATCCTGCAGTATCAGCTCCTCCATTCCCAGGTCTTTGTCTCTCAGAGATGGGCCCAGCCGAGACAGACTGACAAAGCCAGAGTCATCCCCCTCTTCATGCAGTAGCGCCTGGGGAAGAAGGGGGAAGGTCAAGTGCACAGTCCCTCTGGGGGCTGATGGATGACATGCTCCACAAACCAGGTCTCCAGCCCCACATCACCAAACCATTACACCAGGTGGGCAGAAGCACAAGCTGGGAGCAAAAGCCCCAGCCACAGAGGCAGGGGCAGGGTATTCGGGCAGCAGACAGTTTGAACTCCATCTATAGACAGTTGGAGCCACAGATTATTAAACTGCAGAGGAAACATCCAGAAGACCGGGATTGTTCAGAGGACCGGCGCAGCCATAGAGAGGGTGCTAGTCTGAGGGGCACCAAAGCAAGAGGTCAGCCAGGAGATGGTTCAGCTACAGCAGCCTGACCCACCTCCAACCCGAGGCCTCTGTTCCCCGCTGAGCTCGAACCCTGCAGTCTTCAAGATAGCAGCTCAGGGGCTGGGGATTTAGCTCAGTGGTTATGCCGCCTGTCTTGAAAGTGAAAGGACCTGAGTTCGATCCCCAGTACCAAAAAAAAAAAAAAAGATAGCAGGTCAGGCTTCCCAACCTATGCTGATCTCTCCTTAGACCAATGTATTCCCTTTCCTGACAATCACATCCTATCTCCCCAACCCCATGACACTCCCCACATTGTTATGAAAACTGGATTCCAAGTTCATCTGGGGCAAAGAACTCTGATTCTATTAGTCGATATTCCTCTTGTGTCCCAGAAAAGTTTAAATGCCTTATTAAAGTTAAAAGCACCTTCCACTCACCCATGGTGCCAGGCAGTATCATACAAAGTTGTTATTCCACTTTGCTTTTTTGAGGGAGTACCTGGGATTGAACCAAGGGTCTCACACACACTAAGAATGTGCTCTGCTGCAGAGCTACACCCCTCACCCTAAGAGTACTGTCACCCAACCTCTCATGTAGTTCCAAAGGAAAGGTATCTTCCCCAACCCTACTAGGTGACTGACAAGAGAAAGCTTGATCCTGGAGATGGAGGCCCCACCCCACACTCCTCCAAGAGCTAGCCACATTTTTAGCCCTGTCAGGAGGCAAGGAGTGGCCTGCACAAACCTGTCAAGAGTATGGGCGTGGGCACGGCCAGAAGTGGCTGGACTGAGACTCAGGAGCCAGAGCCAGGCTGGCTCCACCATTGGAAACATGGTGCAAAGGCCTAAGAACAGGACCAAACAGAGAAGCCAACTCCCTGACCCCGATTTCTGCAGCATAGGGGAACTCAGCATTCACCTGCTCCAAAAGAAAAAAGCAACAGGTTTGACTATACCCTTGCCACACACACACTCCTTAAAAAGCTGACGAGTTCCAGCATCCGGAGGCTGAGGCAAGAAGATTTCAAATTTGAGTTAGCCTGGGTAATATACAGACTTAGGGAGACCCTGTCTCAAAATAAAAAAGGGCCAGGGATCTAACCCCCAAAATGCTGTGATGTAGTTCAGTGCCAAGGCCCTAAATTCAATCCCTAGCCCTGGGGCAGGACCCAGGGAGAGGAAAGGCTGTTTAGAACACAGGAGCCCAGGGCCAGAGATGAAATGAAAGGCAGTAGGTTTTAGGCACTAACTCCTCCCAGACCTTCACAGTCCTATAATTACAACCAGCAGCCAAGTATCACCTGGCCCAGCAAACAGTCCTAGGTGAGCAAGGAGCTGCAGCTCTACTTGCCCTGCCAGCTCCCTGCCAGAGCCCCAGCCACCAGGCCAGAATGTCAAACCATGCCCAGCCCTACACATCATCTTTACCTCCACCAGGCAGGTCCTGGAGCTGCAGTGAGAGCCACTTCTCCTTCACAACCTCCCCCACCCCTCAGTTCCCCAATAGCACTGTTGTCAGGGGATCAACCCAAGGGCCAAAAGTGAGCCACCACCAGTACCTCTAACTTCAACAACCTCCCAGCTGGCTTTCCCACATCACTCTTGTCCCTCCAGGTTTCAAAACCAGCCAAAAATGTTTACTTATTTGATTATTATTATTATTTTTTTGGTACCGGGGATCGAACTCTGGACCTTGCGCTTGCAAGACAGGCGGCAGAACCATTGAGCTAAATCCCCAGCCCTATGATTATTTATTTTTGCATTCACCACCACACCCTGCTGCCAGCTTTTAAAAATTGCATGAATGATCACTTCCTGAGACCCTCCATAAATCCCTTTAATGGCATCTTACTGCTCCTACTGTAAGATTTAAACTCAGCACTATAGTTTACAGAGATCCAGGTCTCCCCCAGTACACCTCTGTTCTAGTTTGTCCTCTCGCTCCTCTGCCACACAGGCCTCAGTTCCTACAATAAGCTGTGTTCTCCCCTCTCCAGGCCTTCACACAATTCCCTCTGAAAGTTTATCACACACATGGATCTCAGCATTAAATATCCTTTCCCAAACTCTACAAAGCATGTTACAACTGCCAATAATACAATCTCAAATATCCTGCACTTCCCTTTTGTCCTACTCTTGTGGCACAGGCCTATAATCCCAGCACTTAGGAGCCAGAGGCAGGAGGACTGCTGTGAGTTCAAGGCCAGCCTGAACTATAGTGTCACTGTATCTCAAAAGAATAAAAATAGGGCCAGGGATTTGGCTCAGTGGTTCCACTGCCTGCCTCACAAGCGCAAGGTCCCGAGTTCAATCCCCAGTACCAAAAAAAATAAAAATAAAATAAAAAGGAACGGCATCTCAATTCCTAGCTAATTGTTTTATGCATTTTGTTTTGTTTTTCTGTACTGGGATCAAACTCTGGACCTTGCACTGAGCTAAATCCCTGGCCCACCTAGCTGGTTGTTTTACTAGCTCACACATACCCATCTTTTTTAAGGGGCAAAAGGATCTCTCCACAAGGCTCTGTCCAACCCAACCCCAAATAACCACCTAATTTGTACTGCAGCTACATCTTGGAGCCCTCATGCCTCTTCCCTAGAGCATGGCAGCACTAGCCTCAAAAGATGTAACCGCTGAAAGGATGAAGAAAAGGTGAATTGCTTCCAAATTCATGCCCCAGAAGTCATTCTCCCTTGGACTCAGGCCTAGATTGGTCTGCTGGACCTGATATTACGAGGCAGCCTGCAGCCCCACTCCTACCTAGGGAAAAAAAAGATGCTGTCAAGGACTCAGTGTAATTGCAAAAGAGAGATAACAATTCAGACTAATTCCTGCCCACTGCCACTGCCACCTTGGGTGGGAACTTTTTTTTTTGGTACCGGGGATCAAACTCGGGTCCTTGCGCTTTCGAGGCAGGCGGTGGAACCACTGAGCTAAATCCCCGGCCCAGGGTGGAAACTTTTAAGAAGCCCTCCACTGAAGAGTGGGACAGTAACTTTTTAAGCACTGAGAAGACCAAGAAAAAAACAAATCTGACCAAAAGAATTCTCTCTGATCCGATAAATGTTGAAGTACTGAATGGTTCGCAAACGACCTCCAACTTTTCCCACCCTCACCAAAAATTCCAGAAAACCTTAAATACAGACCACCCTGTAGTTTCTGAATGTCAGTTCACTGGAGAGATCCTAGAGCAAGAAGTGAGGGGACAGGGCTCTCTTTCCCTTACTTAAGCTTGTCCCAAGTGTATGCTGACACTTCCCATCCCCTTAAATCACAAATGATGTGCCAGTGACTCACAACCCACCCCGACCCGGTTAGACAGAAGCTGCCTCAAGCTCCCTCCTCCACAGCCCTTCAGCCTCAGCCCTCTACCATCCGCAAAGAGAGGCTCCAACATCTGGTAAGTCCACCACCCGCTGTCGAAAGGCACTGCAGACCCATGCAGAAGGAAGAAATTCCAAGTCTAGGGACAAAGCTGACTCTAGCAACCCTAACCTTCCTCCAAGGCCAGCGGCTCCCAGCCCCGTCGCAGATGGCGGGACCGCTGGGACACACCCAGTTCCCGGCAGTGCGGCTCAGGCGCGGACACTAGAAGTCCGACAGCCCGAACGGGAGCCACGTGGACCCGCGGCCCTCCCCCCCAGCCCAACCCACGTGGGTGCCCAGGCCGCCTAGAGGGGGAGGGGAGCCAGACAAGTTCTCCCGGGAAAATCGCTCCCCCACCCCACGTGCTCCGAAAAGGGAACTGCGGCGCCGGGCTGGTGGAGCCCTCCTCGGCATCCTTAGGAAGAGGTCCCAGCCTTCGACCCCTACCCCGTAGCCCTGACCGCCTTCCGCAGCTGCAGGCCGTTTCCGACACCGGCTGTGCCCCAAAGTGTTCTCAGAAAACCCCCACAAGCACCCTGCCTCCGCCACCCAACCCGAACACGCGGCTCCGGTCTGCTCCGCCACCCCGACTCCCGCACCGTCCGGCATCGATTTCCTCTCTTCTTCCTCCCTCTCCCGCGGCGTCCACGTGTCACCTCCCGGCGCACGCCGCTCTGCTGCCAGCCGCGGGCCGCCCGCCAGGCTCTCACCTGCTCCCCTCCGCTCATGGCACCCACGGTCCCATAGGGAGCTTGACTCCGACTTCCCCAGCCGCTGCCACGGACTCCACCGCCGGGATCAGGCCCGGAGCCGGCACTTGCAGGCGGCACGACTCTGTCTCTCCGTCCCCGGCGCGCCGCCATCTTGGCCCCTGAACACCCAGGCTGCTCTGACCGCCGGCGCCGCCTCGCCAGGCCGATTGTGAGAAAGGAACTACAACTCCCGAAGGCGACAGCGAAACTACGAATCCCAGAAGGCCGTGCGGCGAGCCTCCTTGTGCGAGCGTTCTTGGGAATAGTAGTCGCAGTGTGCCCTGGCCTGGTGTCAGGAGAGCTGGATTAGAGCAGTGCTTAATGAGGTATTATTCGCAGAGATCAAGATGGGAAGCGCGCAGTAATGAGGAGAGAGTTAATATTTGTGTATCGATATTTTCGTTAATGTATCCAACCTTTGGAACGCCCTTTTTATTTGACGTTCTACCTTCTGTGCATTCCCTTCACCTTGATCCAAGTAGGTCTGTTGAAACACCATCCCCTAGTGGACACCCGCACTCGGGGCGCGAATTCTCGCCAATCCATACTGGCTACTACTGGACACCCCACCCCCACCCCTCATCGAACCAAGGGACTAAATTACTTCCCAGCCCGCCCCCTCTTTATTCTGGAGACAATTTCGCTAAATTGTCCAGGCAGGTCTTGGACTTGGCGATCCTCCTGCTTCATCCTCTCAAAGTGCTGGGATTACAGGAGTGTGCCAATTCACCCAGCTTCAAGTTTATTCCTGAAATACTGAATTCTCTGCTCTTAGTCTGCTGTTAAACAAAAATCTACGTTGCGTTACCAACGTATTGTCCTGCCCCAGACATAAACCGGGTTTAGCGAGCATCTATAACCCTAGCACTCTAGGAGACTGTGGCAGAAAGATCCAAATTCTAGCCCAGTCTGAGCAGTTTAGCAATATCCTGTCTAAAAATAAAAAATAGGCTAGGCATGTAGCTCAGTGTGAAGGCCCTGGGTTTAATCTCCAGTACTGGGGGGGGGGGGGGAGTTCAATTTCTTAGACTTAGCCTTTGTTGCCTTTACAGCGTGTTCACGGTTTTTTCGTGGACAAAAATGCGCAGGCTGGCGGGGCATTGTGACATATCCCTATAATCCCAGGCATTGTGACACTCTGGGAGACTGAGGCAGGAAGCCTTGGCAATTTAGTGACTTAGGGAGACCTTACCTCCTTAAAAAAAAAAGATATGGGGTTTTAGATCAGTGGTAGAGCATTTGCCTAGTATGGGTGGGGTGGGGCCCTGGCTGGATCCCAGCACTGGCCAGTTGGGGGGGGGGGGGTTGTTTATATAGTGCTACAGCTTGCTTTTTTCATGTCAGTTCATTCACTAGACAAAGATTTCCTGAGGTCTTAGTGGACACAAGTTCCATTATATGATCACATCATTATTTAGATATTTAAATTGTTTCCAGTTTTTTTGTATTTTTTTTTGGTACCAGAGATGGAACTCAGGACCTTTCGCTTTCAAGGCAGGTGACAGCACCACTGAGCTAAATCCCCAGTCCTGTTTCCAGTTTTTTGCCATTACATGTTAAATTATGATGAACATCATTGTGCATGTTGTGATGTTGTGTTCATGTACATGTCATTCTTTCTATGGAATTGGGTTTTTTTTGGGGGGGGGTGTTTTGTTTTGTTTGGTACTGGGGATTGAACTCAGGACCTTGTGCTTTTGAGGCAGGCAGCAGAACCACTGAGCTAAATGCTTGACCCCTTTCTATGGAATTGTTTTCTTGAAATTCCATTGCTAAGTTAAAAGATGTACACATTTGAAATGCAGTGGATAATGCCAAATTGCTCTTTGGGAAGATGGCATCAATCTACATTCCTAAAAGCTGCATATAGTAGCAGGGTATAGTGGCACATGCCTGTAATCCTGGCTACATGACTGAGTTCAAGGCCAGCCTGAACTACATAGCAAGACTCTGTCTGAAAAAACAAAGAAAGATCGATCCCCGGTACCAAAACAAAAAAAACAAAGCAAGAGGCCAGAGATTTAGCTCAGTGGCGCCAAGCCCGCCTGTCAAGTACAAGGTCCTGAGTTCAATCCCTGGTACCAAAAAATATATAAATAAATAATGTAAAACTCCACAGAACACTAAAACCAAAACAAAACATGGTGGTACATGCCTGTAATCCAGGTACTCAGGAGGCTAAAGTTGGAGGATTACAAATTCAAGGCTGCAGATTTAGCTCAGTGGTGCTGCCACCTGCTTTGCAAGCACAACGTCCCAAGTTCGAACCCTGGTACCAGGAAAAAAAAATTCAAGGCCAACTTGGGCAATTTAAGGAGACTTTGTCTCTAAATAAAAAGAGCTGGGGTGTAGATCAGTGGGAAAATGCCCCTGGTTTCCATCCCTGCTACAGTAAACCAAAAGAAAAAGAGGCTCTGCACATGTTCACAGTTTGGGGCACTAATTATGGTGATTAGGCTTTGGGAAGAAAATTAATGTAAAAGAAAGAAGATTTTGCCAATTTTGTTTCACCGAGCATTTGAAAAAATAATCTGTTCATCCCAGGGATAGAACTCTGGACCTTGCGCTTGTGAGGCAGGCACTGGAACAACTGAACTAAATCCCCAGCCCTGTTCGTTTTGGGGTTTTTTGGTACCAGGAATCTAACTCAGGACCTTGAGCTTATGAGGCAGGTGCAATACCACTGAGTTAAATCCTCAGCCCTGTTCACCAAAGTTTGGTATCTACATGGAATCTGCTAAAAATATGTAAGAGAAGGGCTGGAGTAAATGAATGCAACTTGAGAATATAATGTTAAGTGAAATACGTCAGATACCCAAGCTTAAATATCATGTGTTTTCTCATATCAGAAACTCAAAACAACATATATATAAAAAATACAAAGACCAAAATAGAATACAGATAAATAAGTAGGGAGAGGCCGGGGATTTAGCTCAGTGGTTTCACCGACTGCTGCGCAAGCGCAAGGCCCCGAGTTTGATCCCTGGTACCAAAAAACAAAAACAAAAACAAAAAAGGCCAGGCATGGTTGTGCATGCCTGTAATCCCAGCACTGGGAGGCTGAAGCAGAAGGATCACTGTGAGTTCAAGGCCAGCCTGAACTGCATAGCAAGACTGTCTCCAAAAAAATAAATAAATAAAATGAAAAGGAAAAAAAAGAATGAGCGCTGGGGGATGTAGCTCAGTGGCAGAGCATTTGCCGAACATATGGGAGAATATGGGTTCCATGCCTAGCACCACAAAATTAAATAAATAAATAAATGAGTAGAATATCTCTGGGTAGCTGGGTGTGGTGGTGCAGGCCTGTGATCCCAGCACTCAAGAGGCTGATGCAGTAGGATCCCTGTGAGGTCTAGGCCAGTCTGGGCTACACAGTAAGTTCAAGACCAACCTGAACTGCACATAACAAAACCCTATTTCAAAAAAACAAAAACATAATACAATAATATCTCTGAACAGGGGTTTTGTGGCTCTAGTCACCTTTGCAAGTACATTCCTAAAGACAATGAAGAAAAACCTCAGAGATAAGGCCACCAAACTTCCAGTCATTTGGCCTTGTTGGGCTCTATGCCCACCAAAGAATCATCTGAATATAACTAACCCCTGGGCTGGGGATCTAGCTCAGTGGTGCTGTGCCTGCCTCACAAGTGCAAGGTCCTGAGTTGGATCCCCGGTATCGGAAAAAGAAAAAAAAAAAAGTGAATATAAATACCCCCTATCAAGTCTCTCTCTGGTACTGGAAATTGGACCCAGTCTAGCAAATACCAACTGTGCATTTTATCTTTTTTTTTTTTTTTTGTGGTAACGGGGATCCAACTCAGTACCTTGCATTTGCGAGGCAGGTGAGGCACCACTGAGCTAAATCCCCAACCCTTAAAATTATTTTCTATGGAAGAAAATATACTAAAAATTATATAAATAAATAAAATAAAATAAACCCCTCAAAAAGAAAATATATGAAAAAGAAAAAAAAAGAAAATATATGGATCAAGTGAGGCAGCCTTTTAAAAATTTTTTTATTTTGACAGTGTCTCACTAAATTACTAAGTTGCCTACACTGGGATCAAACTTGGAAACTTGTGCCTCTGCCTCCCACAGTCTGAAAATACAGATATGTGCCACCACGCCCAGCTGGGTTTACTCACTGGGTGCTTACCTGGATCACATTATCCTATCAATAGGATCCTACCAAATGCTCATGTAGTATCCCTTTTGGTGCTTCTTATTCATTTATTTATTTAGAGACAGGTCTCACAATGTAGGTCAAGCTGGCCTCAAACTCACAGCCACCTTCAAGCCTCAGCCCTTCCCTTCCTGGGATCCCAGGTGTGTGCCATCACCTGGCCAAGGTTAACCATTTTAAAGTTACCAGGGCCGGGGATTTAGCTCAGTGGTTTTGCCGCCTGCCTTGCCAGCACGAGGGCCCAAGTTCGATACCCAGTACCAAAAAAAAAAAAAAAGACATTTAAAGTTTCCAATTCAGCTGGACGTGGGTTCAGGGCCCTCTGGACTACATTTGAGATAGACTCTATCTCAAAACAACAACAAAAAATGGTTAATCTTACATGCACGGAAATGTCAAATGAAACACACTATTTTGTACAATTATATGTACTAAGAAATTTTTTTTTTTTCAGTACCAGGGGTCGAGCTCAGGACCTTGAGCTTTCAAGGCAAGCACAGCGCCACTGAGCTAAATCCCCAGCCCTAAAAATTATAATAAAAAAAAAAACTTTATAAAGCTAATCTTTTTGTGTGTGTGGTACTGCCTTTGAACCCAGGACTCCACATTGAACTACATCCCAGCCTTTTTATTTTGAGACATGGTCTTGTTAAGTCACAAAGCTGTCCAAACTGGGCTCCATTTTGTAATCTTCCTGCCTCAGCTTCCCAGAATGCAGGGATTACAGGCGGGTGCTAACATCCCCATCCTCACCCTCCCAATTTCTGCTTAAAAGGGTAACCCTATGTGAATTTCACCTTACAAGACACACACAATTATGGATGTTTGTATCTATTCATTCAAATCAGCTAAATCTCCAGTCCTGCACAGCAGTCATTGAGTTACTCACCTGTAGTCCCAGCACTCAGGAGGCTGAGGCAGGAGGATTTTGAGACCAGCCTGGGCGGCATAGGCAAACAATCAAACAAAAATCCTTCCATCGGGCTCCACCAGCCCTCCCCATCACATCCTGAATCTGTCAGGGATCTCCTTCTACTTGGGCGGCA